CGGGACCGCCGCTTCCCGCCGCCGCCGCGCACGCCCCCGCCACCCACACCGTGGAGCACGGCGGCCGAGGCTGCCGAGGCCGGGAAGCGCTCAGAGCCGGAGCGCTCCGTGACCGCGGGGGCGCACGTCCCTCAGGTGCAGGGCCGTACCCACGAGGGCCGCTGCCAAACGGGGAGGCGGGGCCCGCAGCGCTTACACCCGCCCGGCGTTCGGGGTCCGGCCCCGCTTCACCCGGCCCGCCCGGGTTCTGGGGCCGCTAACCCCAAAATGGCGGCTGGAGCCCCTTCGAGCCATCCGCGTGCTGATGTAAAGAAACTAACGCAATAGTTTGATTAACTGTTAAGTAGGTATTCTTTACTGCAGCGCTGGATGCACGGGGGATCGCTCCACCTGTCGTGCACACCGTCGGGCCTAACTGTGCAGGTTAAGTGCATGTTCTACATACGCATTCACTAGATTGCCGAGAAATGTTATAAATATTCATTAGTTTTCCGGGGAGCTATTAGCATATGCAAATGACCTTTACGCAGGCGTATTGAAGGTCTCTGGTGGTCTTCCATAGCCTTCCTCACTTGTTCACTACTTGACCCTCCTCAGGTGATTCTGCGCAGCATGGTCCTTTACATGTTTTGATACATCAATGCTTGTCAGTGCTCTTATTATCTAAGTTTTCATTAGTGATGTAAAACCATATGGCTAGTTTAAGCTAAATTATCTACAAGGACAAGAACAAAGGCAGGAGTTCTTATCTTTTCCGGCCCTATCTATTCAAGCAAGGCCTCTGCTTGTGCCTTCTCAACAAGATCGTAAATTCATCAAACATTTAATTAAGTTCTGTGATTGCTCATGGCTCCTTCTTGCTCATCACTCCCAAGTACCAGTCTCTGACAGGCTTAATCCTTGGCAAACACCAGTCCTTGGTATGTAAAGTTACAGAGAGATAATCATTAAGCAATAAGCAGTTCGTTCAGTATATCAGTGCGTAAGTAGGTAGAGATGGGCGCTGTGTGTACCTGCTCTGTAAAAATAAGGTATTTTTGCTCCCAGGCTTTGAGATGTCTTCACAAGCTTTCCTGTGCTGCTGTGAAGGTGAAAAAACTTGATTTCTGCCCTCCCCAGATCCAAAAGCTGCTCTATTTTAACACTATTAATGAAAAGCTTCCTATGGATGAAGCAAACAAGCTGCCATCATTTCAGTAATTTGAGTGAAAGCAAGCATGCGATGATTTTGTGAGCATAACAGAAAAAATATCAAGGGTACAAAATGAGATCATCTTATTTTGCAGGCTTAAGGAGGTAATTTTTTGGTTTTGTGATGTCTGAATTCAACTTCCACCGTGCTATGGGGATTATTTACGAATGGCTTATGCCACTGCGTTCAGCTACTGTTTTCTTTCGCATTTCTAGTTTATTAGAAAGCAGGGGTTAGCAAATCTAATTGTTTTCACTATGAGCAAGCAACGCAATAGGAAATCTGTTTGAAAGGTAAGTGGTGGAAAGAAGGAACGTAGCTTGTTTTTATATATTTATGTGTGTATCATGTTTTAGTCGTTTACAGTCTAAATAGCTTCCTAACCGGTCCCCTTCTGGATCACAGACTGGAGGGTGGTTTGTTCAAAGTCCCTTTTGAGCAAAATACTCCACACATCTTTGGATTTAATTCTTGCTAGTCTCGGTCCCCGCTCTTTTTTTTTTTTTTTCTCCCCTCCATTGTTGCCCATGTGCTTTTTTAATTGTTCTGAACCACGAAGCCCTGGAGTACTTTTTTACTCTGTCATCTCAGCCATACCTTACAGATACAGGTCACTATCGTGGGCAGTCAGTCCAGCTCTCTAACCATAAATTTAACCTTCATGAAGGTCACAAAGAAGTGCAACTCTCCTAATTCAAGTAACTGCACTAGCGGAAGCTCCTGGCAGAGGTCACGTCATAAATAGGCCATTCGGGAGACGACAGCCACTTGTCTGGTGAGAACAGCTCTGCTGGTCTTGCCA